TGCTCCCGCTCCCCAAGATTTAGCGGAATTGACACCTTTGGCTTCCAGATGCTGGTCCCGACTGTGCGCTTACGACCCCCCTCCCCTCCCCTCCCCACCTCCGCAGCGGTCAATTATGAGCCCCCTGATGAGATTCTCCCAACGTTGCTTCTATCCTTCCTATAGAAACACGAGCAGTGGCTTTCAGAAGCTTATGTGTATGTGATATCTTCGTTGTGAGAGCTGTTTGTTCGCACAAACGTCGTCAGCAAAATCGGGTCATCATTCAAAAGCTGGTACTTATGGGTAATACCACTAACGATAAGCTGATAGAGGTTAGCGGGTGGCCTTATGATTAGTGATATAGTGGACAGCACATTCACCTGGCAAATGTGAGACCCAAGTTGAGTGCTACTCAAGGCAAAGCATTTTAGCGATAAGTGCCCTTGTCCGATGACCTTCACAGTACTGAAACTGCTTTGAAAAAGGCCAGTTATCATAACAGAGCAGAGCAATATTCCACCTTTAAATGGTCTAACTGATGATGGAAGGAAGGAGATAGAAGCTGGCAATTCTTGTTTGAGTAATCCCGAATCACTTCTCTAGTTTCCTGCTCAATCACGCATCCCTTCGCTGCAAATGCACAGGCTCTACGTAAAATACTGCTTTCTCTTGTTAGGTGGACACGTCGTACGCTGAGGACTCCCCAGCGGAGGTCGTACTTGGTCGCTGGAAGGAAGTGGGGGGGGGGGTCGTACTTGGGATGTAAATTTTTTTTCGTTGTCGGTATTTGCTGTTTCACGCGCGCTATCCACATCTTTGGGAGACTATCATTTGGACTGGAGAGAGGGCTTGGGTGGGGGTCGTATATGGCCCTGAAGGCAGTAAGCGCGATAGCTGGGGCGGGCGGTGGTTTTCAGCGTCATTATTGGTGGAAGGGCTAAGCTGGGTGAGGCCAACTGCGGTCCTTGCCTCTGAAGAATTTTTCTCCGACTGTTGACTTTTCGCGGTTCTCTCTTTCACATGTTCTATAGATGCCATATCTTATCCCTACCTGCTTGACAGCCGCAGGGGAAGGGAAGCCCAAATGGGAAACTCTTGCAATGTGGCAGGATGTTGGGAAGACTCAAGTAGACGGTAGGCATCATGGGAAGGAGAAGAGTTCGTACCACAGTGGGAAGCAAAAACTCTTTCCATCGACGGGAAGCCCTGACTGTGAGGTATATGGCCCCGAGGGGAAGATCAATTGGGAAACTCTTGGAATGTGGCAGGATGTTGGGAAGACTCAAGTAGGCTGTCCCAGTTTACATGCCCAATTAACTCCATCTCCAACACTTGCCCTCAGCCGCACAGCTGATTCCCCTATATGAACTTCACGGACCCACAAGTGACGGAGTGGACGCAAATCTCGTGCATCCGACACGTATGTCGAATCCCTCATTGGACTTTCAGGTGCTGCTCATTGGGGGTCTGTCATATTCATTGCTTCCGTGTTAGGGACCTGAAAAGCGACATTCATTTGCACTTTTGGAATGAGTGCACATTAATAACCACAGCACGTGATAGTGGCAGAAAAGGGGGATGAAAAGGCATAGAGTCAATAGGCACTAACAGAGGGACCAGCGATTTGTGCAGTTCATAAGGGCTCTAAATACCATAGTCCTTTCTGGGATAGCTTAGCCAGCTGCCTAGATTTTCGCTCAGCCCTCACTGTGATCCTGACAGTCTACGCGAAGACATTCGTATACATGCCGAAAAGCAATAATGGAAATGGGCCTTTTTCCTTCCACTTGAGAAAGCCACTGTAGGGCGATGGGGGCATTCAATCTGTAACCAAAGCTGAACTCATGCTTGAAAGAGGTATGACAGGTGACAGCATCAGATGACTCCGGCTCCGTCAGGGGAAGGAGTGACCATAGCTAGATCAGCTGGATAATTTGACTGGTTGTGTTATCACAACTATTCGCGAACATACTCGTAATCCCTTGAAATACCTTGCGAAAAAGAGGATCTAGCAGTTTTGGGGGGAGGAGTCACATCTAAAATTGCTTGTCATCATACCAGATCCTGAACTGTAGTGAGTAACGCACAGCCTTGTCGAAACCCTGTTAGCCTCTCAGCCTCGTTATCACCTCTCAAGCACCCGGTAAACTGCTGTAAACTTGGGACTGGTCAGACTCGAAAAAAATTAGGAAATGAGGAAAAAATGAGGAAATTTTCATGACACCAGTACCATTTCGGGAAGCTTACCAGCAGTTTGCAGCCTACCTGACAGGAATGGCAGAAGTTACAGGATGAGGTACGATTACGAAAAGGCAAAAAAAGGAAGTGAAAGGCTAATGAAAAAGCTAACAGGTGCTCACTAAAGATATTCGCGTCTAAAAATCATGTAACTTTAACAAAAAAAGGAGATTGAGAACTTAGCGGACGCCTCCGCCTCTGAGACTGGCAAAAAGCCGCCGGCCTATCAAATCCAATCAACCTCATATCCTGCTGATCCTATTATATTTCCATACGGAAGTATCCGCGGATAGATTGAGAGTCCACGTACTTCTGACAGGAAAAACCCGGCAAGGGTCTTTTGGGTGGTCTGGACCAGTCTTAGTAGGTCCCCAGAGGCTTTCTTGAAAAAAGACGGGTCGTTAGGTATTCCATTTTGTTTAAAATTATAGGTTGTTTGAGTGCGGATTTGATTTCTTCTTCTTTCTCTGAATTAAGAGCACAAAGGGAATAAATGTTTGATTGCTCCCCGTCTGATGCCCCGTGCAAAACGGAGAGCAAACCACCCTCACTAGATGTTTTTTTTTCAATTTTTCGCCTATAAATCTTCTTCTATACAGTGACATACGGCCATTGATTATGCTTTAATTGCTTCAGGAACTCATTGGAGTAATGATGAATGATGAAATTGATCCTGGAAGGAAGGGGCGCATTCTTCGTCGCATCATTACGACGTGTCAGGATGGTTTCACTGCCATTGAGGTACTTGGCTTGGATAGCTTTTCGCCTTTCATACGCGCTCTCCCCACGTTATTTTTAAGGCATGCCCGAAGCCAGTGATTGCTGCTGTTCATTCACATTGTATTGGTGCGGGCGTAGACCTGATAACCAGCTGCGATATTCGTTACGCGAGTAGTGATGCCCTCTTTAGCATACGGGTATTCCCTATAATTTTCTTGTTCCACTCGGGAATTTTTTTAAGTTTAAATGATGAAATTTTGAAGGAAGTTGACATTGGAATGGCAGCTGATGTGGGAACGTTGAATCGAATCCAAAAGATTGTCGGAAATGACAGCTGGACCAGAGAACTGGCTTTTACAGCCAGAAATGTTGGTGCTGATGAAGCGCTGAAGTTTGGTGGGTTGTGCATAGTTTTAGACCTGAGTTCTGCTACTAAACGCAGTTTATCCTAAGAGATGAATGTGGCGTGGCTTCGTGCTCCGTTGAGGGTGCGTTTTTTCCTGGAAGGTTTTCACAACTACCATGCTGTCTTGTGCTGAATAAAGACATGATTACAGTTGCTTCAAAATGAAATACCGCCCGCCAGATACGCAACCACCGCTCATCAAACGAATTACTCAGCCACGCCCTATCCATCTCCGGGATATAGAGTGTATGCAAGGCACCTCCGGTCGCTGGGAGGAAATTTTGCAAAATACGACCCCGCTTTCCATTTCTTACTCTGGTACACCCCGCCCCTTTTCTGTGCTGTTTAAAATCTTACCAATCCTTCCCAACTTCCTACCCCTTTTCCGAAAATTTTCAAAAAAAATTCCAGTTTCTTCCCCAAAATTTTGCCGGGAACGAGCGGGGGAGGGGATAAGTAGCTCGTATGTTGGCACACGGCACACGGGAAAATCCACGAAAAGTCAACAACAAGAAAATTTTTTTATAGTTGGATATGACACCCCCTAAATGCAACGAGTAAATATGGATCCCCATCGACGTTCCTCTACATATACTCTAAAAATGAAATTTCAGGATTGATCTCTCGTATCTTCAACACTGAAAAAGAAGTTGTTGAAGGTGCTTTGGCTTTAGCGAGAAAGATAGCAGAGAAGAGCCCCATAGGAGTTCAAGGCACCAAAGAAGTGAGTGAATCCATTCGATTGAACGTCCGAATTTTTCCAATTCTCATACTAACCGCTCTTAGTGAGCGTTAAATGCGGTTTACCCGTGCACGGTCCGGGGGCAAATCCTGAATCGGTTCTCGCAACCAAGCCTTCTACCCTTCGGAAACGGTAAATTGGTACCAGAATCGTCTGGA